TTGGGTCTCCACTCACACGCCCCCCCATCATTCACTGTGGTAAGATTTTTTGTTCTGATGATGCCTGAAACCTGATCCCTTCGACACCTCGTGATCGTACAGGCTGGTGTGCTTTTTCCATGTGGGCTTTTTGCTTCTGAGCTAGATGGCCGCTTGTTTACCAGAAGAGAATACTTTTTAAAGGAGTTGTGCATTTAATAATAAGAAGAAGAATCTTTAAAATAAAATAATTATCCTTTGTGGCTTACAAGCAAAAAATATGGGTATAGTCTATTCATATGCCACACATAATATTTAACTGAAAAGTACCATAAGTCGGGTAATTTTTTTGAGAGAACAAATTCTGAATGGCATTTTTTTAAAAAGGAAACGTTGATGGATTGTCCATAAGACATGAATGCAAGCTATTGCCTGAGGAAGTCTGTACCCATGCCTGGAAAATGATTAAGCTAGGTTATTGGCTCCCCAGGACATAGCAGTTCAGAGATAGATCATTGGAAATGCAAGCTCCTGTCTTTCCATAGGCGAGAAAGGGATGGATGACTGCACGTTTTCTGTCAGCACAGTGGTGGTGCTGCGGGTTGTTTCTTTTCCAAAATAGCTGGGATTTTGCGAAACTACTTTCATAAATCCAAACCATGTTTGCTCTTCCCAGTTTAATGTTTTAAGTGTCAGGGACTAAGAGGAGGCCCTAAATAGCACAGTGAAGTGCTCAGCTACTAGCCAAAGTTTGAGTCTACTCTGGCAGAACGCCGCTGCAGCTTTGGGAAGGTCAGGGCCATGAACACGCTCTGGAGCGCAGTGCTACTCGGAAAACACGTGGGAGTACCAGGAGTCACAATAGACCCACTGATGAATTAAGTATTAAGAAAACGAATAAAAGGTGGTCACAATAGTTTCTGAAAAATCTCACCTTGTGACTAGGACCCCGTGCTTAGAGGAAGACAGTTCCTCCTGTCCATGTCTTCTCCTATGGAAGAGCTGAAAATATAATTTTGTATGGGCCGAAAAGACATATTTATTTATGAAACGGTAACTAAACATTTTTAAAGGGGGAGGCAATTGCATAACCCCAGAGATAGGTCTTAGGTCACGATCCTCTGGACCGTTTCTATGTACCTGCATGGCTCCAGCCCTCCTTCCCTCAGTCTCTGCTTCTAAAAACCTCTGCCATCGCTTCCCAAGCCCCCTCTTCTTTGTTTTCCCTCACAGCACGTTCTACCACCTTCTCTGTGTAGGTTTATTTTGGGTCTCTACTCAATTGCAATATAAGTTGCATGCAAACATAGACCTTGATTTTTGCTTACTGCTGAAACTTCAGTACCTGTAACAGTTTTGAGTATACAGTAACCTCTTTATGAATATTTATTAAGTGGGTTAATGATCGTGAGCATTCATTCACAGATAATCAGTAGACATTCAGCTTTCAGTCCAATGGAGGTAGACAGGCATTTACACAAATCATCCAAGTAGGATGGGTGCCTGTGGAGAGGGCAGGAAATGGACGTAAAGGAAGGAATGGGTGGGCTTGAGCTTGGATGTTTGTGCAACATTGAATTAGACGCTACCTGATTCTTGGGTTGTTTGTGAGCTTAGAAGCTGTTGCTTCTTTAGTGGCTCCCTTTGGAAGTTGGGGAACTAGAGCAGTTTTATTCTTCTCCCTCAAGAAAAGCTGGTAGGCTATACAGAGATAAGCAAGAGAAAACTTTTGTTTTGCTGGCCTGCTCTAGAGGGATCTGAAAACAAATTTATTTGGGAAAAAAAGTAGGAGTAGAAAATAAGAAAGAGCCTTATTTAAATAGTATTTCTTATCCTTTATGTTAAGACTGCGTCCTGGTGGCGTACGGGTTATGCAAGGTCAGTAGCTTAAAACTACCAGGGGCTCCTGCAGAGGAAGATGAGCCTCTCTTCCAGTAAACAGCTGCAGTTTCAGAAACCCAAAGGGGCAGTTCTAGTCTGACTTATAGGGTCTCCATATAAGTCAATACTGACTCAGTGGCAGTGAATTTGAGTTTTATAATCAGTAATAGAACATTTGCTCAGGAAACGATGTCTTATTTGGGGCATTGATGTGTTTTTGTATTGCTCTTCAGAGCAATGGGGTTTGGATAGATTACATCTGGATTTCTAATCAGTGCTGTTGTTTGACTTTGAAATTTATTTATGAAATACAATCTAACCAAAATCCAAACTCAATACCATCAAGTCGATTTTGACTCATAGCGACCCTGTGGGTTTGTGAGGCTGTAAGTCTTCCCTGGAGTAGCAAGCCTCACCGATCTTCTGTGGAGCAGCTGGTAAGGGCTGACCTTGTGGTTCGGCAACCCAGCGTGTAACCACCTATGCTACCAGTATGAGCCAGAGTGGAGGTTTCAGGGCATTAGAAGTAAATGAAACTTCAGAGCTCATGTCGTCAATTCTCATCAATTCCTGTGGCTTTATAAGTTGAGCAGTCGACTCTTTTCTTCGCATTAAAAGCTTACTTATGTTTATGAAGTATACTGCCATTTAGTTCTGGTTAACTAGCAACTTTTATACCTCTACATCAGTAGGCAGATTCTAGGCCCAAGGAATAACCTGACGCAGAGGGGGAAGGGATTTTGTCTGAAAATATCTTGAGTCAGGAAACCATATTTTCTCTAGAATGATAACAAGTTTGTACGTGTTAAAGTTATGGCTTTTAGAGTTTACTTGGTAAACGGGTAAGAATATTTAAACACCTGCCCAGTGTTCAATCCATACAAGAATTGTTGACTTTGAAAGTCTCGAGATGTTAGACAGAAAGTGCCCCTTTGATAAGGAAGCAACTTCCTGAGTTCACTGGACTGGAAAAGAAAAATATCTCATCAAACCTCTTTCCTTCTTGCAGGGAGATCGAATGTGGCACTTTGCGGTATCTGTGTTTCTGGTAGAGCTCTATGGAAACAGCCTGCTCTTGACTGCAGTCTACGGGCTGGTGGTGGCCGGGTCTGTCCTGTTCATGGGCGCCATCATTGGTCATTGGGTGGATAAGAATGCCAGACTTAAAGGTGAGTGTTGTTACACCTAACTAAGCCCTTGTTTCTACGGGGACCAGTGCTTGAGCTACTTCTATAATAGGGGGAGAAAACCCAAGATCCACCCCTGTGACTAGCTCACTCAGTGTCGTGTTTGCCCTGCCTTGAGGGATAGAATGCTTAGTGGCAGAATCTCTACCCGGAGAGGCTTGCAGCCTTTTCAAAAAGCAGAGATTCCGGAATACTTGTGCTAATGAAAAAAACTTCCTTTTTTTAATCTTCGGCTGTTCATAAATTGCAGATGTTAGCAATGAATAGCTTAGCACTTAACATGTTTTTATTTTGTTCTCATTATTGAGAATATACACAGCAACCACAGACCGATTCAGTCGTGGTTCCATGTACAATTTAATGACAGTGTTTCTGTTTCTGTTTGAGTTGTGCCACCATTTTCACTCTCCACATTACATTACATCCTAGTTCTCTTCTGGGAACCATGTACAACATAAACGTTTGCTTAATGCTGGTTTCTTTCTAAACATGAGCTCCTCGCACGTACCGTTCTTAGGATGTCTTTAATATCAGTCCTCTGGATCACCCTGATTCGAATACAGGGTTGATGAGTGTGGTGGGAGGAGAATTTAAAAGCTCATATAGATTTAAGGGAGAATAGCTGAGACTAAATCATAATCTCAGACTAAATTATAATTTTTTTAGGAAAAAAAGAAGAAATAATAATAGCATTTATTCCTGAGCATTAATACTGAGATCATTCTGTTTTATGCAGGAGAGAAAGCAATTGGGCAATTTGATTCTCCAGGGTATTGGGCAATTATTGAGAGCAAAATATTCTTGAATTGCCTAGTGGGTCATACCAAGACCTGCTAGGTTTGCCTTAGACACTAGGGAAAGACTGAGATAGTGGTAGTGTCCTACCACTGCGCCTAGATACACGGCAGCCTGGATTACCAAATTCTAGGCTTTGATGCTATTAGTCAAATGGTCAAGACACACGTTTTTCTGTTTTGAGAATGGGTAGACCAGAAAGCCTGTAGAAAAATGAACAATACCTAGTTTTTAGACTATCAAACATAGGAATATAGAAGTATTACATATTGGAACCATTTGCCTTGTGGTCATTGAGTATAATGGTTGCAGGTTAGAAAAGAATGCTGAGTTGGAAGAAGAACATGGTGCGATAGCTATTTCCCACTCACTCTGTGTAGTCAGCGTCTGTGTCAACCCTCCACGAGAACCTGCCCGTGATGTCTTCAGACTGCATTAACCATTGCTTTGTCTGAGCCCATGAGACTTAGTCAAGATGTATCTGTGCTATTGCATCCATACTGTTGTAATTCTTTTCACATATTTGTCTTCTACTCCCGGACACTAAGACTTCATGCAGTTGATATTCAGTCCCAGCACAATGAGTGAATGATTGAGTTACATGGTGGGATTTTAATTCAAACCACTTTCAGGAAGCAATTTGATTTAGTTTAATGCCCCAAGAGGATGTTTCAAGTCAATATGAGCTTTATTAGCCTAGAAGACAAGACCTATAATTATAGATTACACATGCAGTGCTCTATATATTTTCAAAGTATTTTCATAAGTATTTTATTTGTGCATTATAATGATTCTGTAAAATAAGAAAGGCAGATATTACCATCTTCACCGTATAGTTGCGGGCCCTGGGATATTGGCTATCTTTCTTTAGATCATGCACCAATGACAGAAAAGACTGCCGGGTGTTAGATTCTTTCCTGTCCTTATTCCACGTGGTTGCCTTTAAATCAGTGGTTCTCAACTTGTGGGTTGCGACCCCTTTGGGGGTTGAACAACCCTTTCACAGGGGTCACCCGAATTCCTAACAGTAGCAAAATTACAGTTATGAAGTAGCAACGAAAATAATTTTATGGTTGAAGTGGGC